GTACTAATTCAAGATTTGTTAAACATCCGTCAAAACTCTCTCCACAGACAGAGAAATTGTCCATGAATACTTCCATGATTCCGTCTAAGAAATCTGCGAAGATCGCCATCATGCATCGTTGGAAAGTTGCAGGCGCATTACATAGTCCAAATGGCATTCTCCGGTATGCAAAGGTACCATAGGGACATGTGAACGTAGTTTTCTCTTGATCGTCATGATGAATGGGAATTTGAAAGAATCCTGAGTATTCATCAAGATAACAGAAATGGGAATGTTTGGCTAAACGCTCGAGCATTTGATCAATGAATGGTAATGGGAAATGGTCTTTGCGTGTAGCTTTGTTTAGTTTCCTATAATCGATACACATTCTCCATCCTGTTTGCGTATGTTGCGCTGCCGATTCGCCTTTTGTATTTGTTATAACTGTAACACCTCCCTTCTTAGGCACCACATGAACTGGACTGACCCAGTTGCTATCTGATATTGGGTATATGATGCCTGCCTCTAGTAGTTTTTGCACTTCCTTCTTAACGACTTCACTTAGGATAGGATTTATCCGTCTCTGATGTTCTCTAGAAGTCTTGCAGTCCTCCTCCAGCATTATGCGGTGCATACAGAGATAAGGGCTTATTCCTTTGAGATCTGAGATATTATAGCCTAACGCGGTTGGATATTTCCTTAACACACTAAGAAGTTTTTCGGTCTCGATCTCTCCTAATTTGGCATTGACTATAACTGGTCGTTCGAGTTCTTTATCTAAGAACTCATACCTAAGATCTTCGGGTAATGTTTTAAGTTCTATACTGGGTTTCTTATTAGTTGAGTCAGGATCAGGTGTTAGGGCTAAACATTCGCTTAGGTTGGCATCTAAGTGTTCTTGTTTCCAGTCTTCGTTCTTGAGGACAGTTGGTATCTGAATTTTCAGCATCTCAGAGTAGGTGTCCTCTTGGCATTCGAGTTCTTTGACACATTCATCAATGATATCTAGGAGACAACATGAGTCGTCTATAGCAGGGGCTTTAAAAAATTGGGAAAGAATGAATTCTACTTTTTCTTTTCCTACCTCAAAGGTAAGTTTTCCATTCTTGACGTCAATGATGGCTCCTGCAGTCGCTAAAAATGGTCTTCCTAGTATGATGGGAATGTTTGAATCTTCCTTGATGTCCATTATTATAAAGTCAGTCGGTATGTAAAATTGTCCTATTCGGACATGAATGTTTTCTAGCATTCCAACAGGAAATTTGACTGATCTATCGGCTAGTTGTAAGGACATCTTGGTAGGTCTCATGTCGCCTAATTTGAGCTTTTCGCAAATAGATAATGGCATTAGACTGACACTGGCTCCTAAATCGCATAGAGCTTTGTCTATGACAGATTTTCCAATTACACATGGTATGGAGAAACTACCAGGATCTTTTAGCTTCGGAGGCATGTTATTTTGAATTATGGCGCTACATTCGGAAGTTAACATAACGGTTTCGTTTTCAACGATTTTTTTCTTATTAGCCAATATTTCTTTTAGGAATTTAGCATATGACGGCATTTGGGTTATAGCTTCCGTAAATGGAATAGTGACGTTTAGTTGTTTCAGAAGTTCTACAAATTTCTTGAATTGTCCCTCATTCTTAGATTTTGCAAGTCTTTGAGGGTATGGAATTGGTGGTTTGTATGGTGGTGGAGGCACATATGGTTTTTCTGAGGCCTCTCTATCCTCATTCGCGTCTTCCTCTACCTTTTCATATTGATCTTTCGGCTTCTCTATTTCCTTTTCGGGCTTTTGGTACATGGTCGGGTTTTGGAGTCTAGGATCTATCGGTCCATCAAGGGTTGTCCCACTTCTTAATGTAATAGCATTTGCATGTCCTTTGGGATTAGGTTGTGGCTGTCTAGGAAATGTCCCAGCAGGTGCGGAAGAACTAGCTTGGTGTTGTGCTACTTGGGAGATTTGGGTTTCTAACATTTTGTTGTGAGTGGCTAGGGAATCTACCTTGTTTGCTAATAGCTTTAGTTGTTCACCGGTGTGAACGTTTTGATTGAGGAATTCTTTGTTTTGTTGGGCTTGATTAGCGATAAAATTTTCCATTAGGATTTCAAGGTTAGATTTCTTAGGAATGTTAGGAACATTACCGGCGGGTTTTTGATACCCTGGAGGTACAGCAGGTGCTTGGCCAGGTGCATATAAAGCGTTATTGCTCTTGTACGAGAAGTTAGGATGGTTCTTCCAACCAGGGTTATAGGTATTGGCCTAAGGATTTCCTTGAGCGTAATTTACCTGATCAGCCGTTATTCCTGCTAGGATTTGACACTCGGTTCCAATATGACCAGGTACTCCACAAACTTCGCAGCTTGGGGTAACTGCAGCTACGGTAGCTGCAGGAGGTAAGGTCAAGCTTTCTATCTTTTGGGTAAGAGCATCTACCTTAGCATTAACTTTATCTAGGCTACTAATCTCGTACATCCCGCCTTTGGTTTGAGTTTTCTCCACAGATGTTCTTTCTCCTCCCCACTGATAGTGGTTTTAAGCCATGTTTTCAATGAGTTGATTAGCTTCGTCATAAGGCTTGTCCATCAGTGTACCACCTGCGGCGGCATCTATAGATAGTCTTGTGTTGTACAAGAGTCCATTATAAAACGTGTGGATTATCAGCCATTTTTCTAGTCCGTGATGTGGGCACATTCGCATCATATCTTTGTAGCGCTCCCATGCATCGAATAGTGATTCAGTATCCTTCTGCCTAAATCCGTTGATTTGGGCTCTTAGTGCAGCGGTCTTGCTTGGGGGAAAGTATCGTGCTAAGAATACGATCTTCAGTCCTTCCCATGTAGTGACGGAATTGGATGGCAAGGATTGCAACCAAGCCCAAGCTCTATCTCTTAGTGAGAAAGGAAAAAGACGTAATCTAATAGCATCTTTACTAACACCATTCGCTATAACTGTGTCGGCAAATTGAACGAATTTCGTAAGGTGTTCATTCGGATCCTCAGAAGGATCTCCAGAGAATTGGCGTTGTTGGATAGCAGATATCAATGACGGCTTTAACTCGAAATCGTTTCGGTTTATTGCTGGAGCAGCAATGCTGTTATGGGGCTCTTGTTGTGATGGAGCTGCGTACTCCTTCAGTGGACGGGTCCTTTGTTCTTCGGCCATGTCTAATTCTGGATTGGTTTCGGTTTCAGAGGAAGAATTAGAATCAGTTTCGGAATCAATCTTGATTTCTGGTTTGGGTAAAGGAATAGCGTGAGTTAAACAGTAATCCATGACTGCACGTCTTACGGAAAGAATGCGTTCAGGTTCGTCCCTCGGTTTTTCAAGTGGTTCGCCTTGTGAGCGAGTCCTTGGCATACAAATCGACAAAGGGTGTCTGTTGCTTAGTCTAAACGCGCAACAGAAGAATCGTAATTAATTGACTACCAGTCCTCGGCAACGGCGCCAAAAACTTGATCGGGACTTTATGAGTCTATCGGGATACTAACTGCAAGTATACAGTTTAGTCGTTCTAGTTTTAAAAGATTATCGAACCCACAGAGACTGTGTATCAATCGCATACGATCTAATGCTACAGTTTTGTCTAACTAAGCGATGAATATTCGATATTTGGGGTAGACAGTGTAGTTTTAAAAGTAATAGTACTAATTATACCGGTATGTGATAATCGGACTTAGGGAATTCAATGAATCGCTTGGCCTATAAAGTATTTCGATAAAAGCTAATTGTTTAAAAACCTGAGACATACACTCTCGTGTTTATGAAATAAGTCATGCTACTAAACCTAGTGGATGCACTTTAAATTTAATAACACTTTTTGAAAACAATTTGAATTTAATTAATTTATTAAAACACTCTCGTGTATTTAAAAATTAATGCTTCGTTACCACTATCTGGGTTGAACCCCAGCTCTCGCATGCATGTTCTTGCCTTAATTAATTTCCCACTCTCGTGGCAAAATCGTGTTAATTAACCTCTCACTCTCGTGACAAGGGTAGTTAAATTAATATTGGAAATTGGAAACCAGAAATTGTTTTATAAATATTTTTGGCCAAGGTCTTATTGAATTCTTTCAGTTCTTACGGTCACATACCGGTATTAATAATTTAACCAGACATAATTAACTTAACAGCAATAAAGTTTAGAATATAATTCATGTCAATAAACGGCATATTATAGAACCTAAATAAATAATAATTGCAATATAAAAAAAAAACTGGAATTACAGATGCTATAGTAATCTTGAGGTAATACAGTAATCCAAATCTTCAAGCTTGACTTGCAGTAGAAATTCGTGTTAATTCTTGTAAGAAGAATTAACACTTAAAAATAGAAACTAGAGCTTGAATGAAAATTACAGGGAATTGAAAGCAGAGTTGCAAAAGAAAGCACAAATTGGAAATAACTGTAAAAATAAAATAAGTATTTGCTGAGTAAAATTCTCCGACCCCTGGACTGTGCCTTGGTATTCATATATATAGCAGGAAAAATCAGCAGTTTTAATTTTGAATTCTTGAGGAAGTCTTCGTGGAGAAATTCCAGGAGCAGTAGAAGTTGTGGCAATAAAATAGGAGGTTCAGTGGAAACAGGAAGAATTATTCTGCCCTTTACGCCCACGTCTTCAATTATGCGCAACGTCCTCCTTCACGCGCGTGACGGTCGTCACAGGTGGGTGACGGTCGTCACACGCTGAAGTGGTGTCTTACGTTCGTCAGGTGCGTGTGACGAGCGTTTGGTTATGTTGTGGGGTGTTACGTCCGTCACAGGGGCGTGACGACCGTCAGGCATCCAGAAGTCCACACTTTGTATTTTTTTATTCTTTTTCTCTTTGTTTTTCGTCTAGTTTTCTTCATGTTGTCCTTTTTCATTGATTTGAGTCGACAAGTGTCACACCTGCAAAAAAGACAAATAATCTCGGAATAATCGAGGGTTAGACGACTTAATGGAATATAAAATTGGTAAAAAGTATGTTAATTACACGATATGTTTTCTCGTTATCAAGGCTTTTGGCGAAATGAGAGTTGAAGGGTTTGAGGCGGATGAGTTCACTGTTGTTAGTGTTTTATCTGCTTGTGCTCAGCTTGGGGACTTGGATGCTGGCAAACAAATTCATCACATGATAGAATGCAAAGGAATAGGTGTGAACCAGTTTGTTTTGAGTGGATTGGTTGACATGTATGAGAAATGCGGGGACTTGGTTCATGCAAAGGTGGTATTTGATAGTTACAATGATAGGAATGTTGTCTGCTGGAATGTTATGATTTCGGGTTTTGCTGTCAATGGAAAATGCAAGGAGGTTATTGAGTATTTGCGCAAGATGGAGGAGTCAAATATAAGGCCTGATGCTGTCACATTTACCAGTGTACTCTCGGCTTGTGCTCATCGAGGTTTGGTTAGTGAAGCATTGGAAGTAACATCTAAAATGGAGGCATGTGGAATCGAAATAAACATCTGGCACTATGGGTGCATGGTAGACCTCTTGGGAAGAGCAGGGCGGTTAAAGGAGGCATATGAGCTAATAAAAAGAATTCCTTTGAAACCTAATAAAAATATTTTGGGGGCAATGATTGGTGCTTGTTGGATTCATTCAGATATGAAAATGGCAGAACAAACTATTAAGATGATTGGTACAGACTCAGCTACATGTGTTGATTCTCAAGATGTGCTTCTGTCGAATATTTATGCAGGTTTACAAAAATGGGAAAAGGCTGAAATGATAAGGGTGAACATGATTGATACAGGGTCTCGAAAGATACCAGGATGTAGTTCAATCATCCTTAGCAACTCAAATTTGAATTGATAGCGGTGTTTTTAGGCAGTACTTAATTTCACACAAATGAGCGTGTTGAACTAATTTTCTCGGCTTTTATAGTTTTGTTCATTTTGTGAGCACACCTGAAATACTGTAACATGTATATATTATAGAATCCGAAATTTTAACATGTATATATTATAAAATCCGAAATCTTACAAATTGAAGAGGTAATTGCAATTCAAGGAAACAATTCCTTTGGGATTAGCATTGTACTGTCTTGGTAGAAAATTATGAAGCCAATGAAAACTTGCCCAGGCTTCATAATTTTCCTGGCTCCGCCACTGATATCACGTACTTCCTTCAACAAAATAACAATCACCCTGAAACAAGAATCATAGACACTGATCCACCACCACACACATCAAACCTCCATCATGAAACTTCATCATTATCACCATGACCTCCTAAACTGAAACTCCATCACTGTCCACAAGCTCCTTCCATTTTTTGGCCTCTACAACAACCAACTCCAACCGTAAACACACCACCATAATAAACAGAACATCAACTTTACTTCAATTTTGATATGTAACTAACCTTCAACAACTTGTGGATCGAATCTAAACTATGAACAATAAACTTCCTTTCCTGCAACAATCATCGGATCCGCATACAACACACTCTCCTGCTACCACTTCAAGCTCGTCCTAACTTGACTCTCAAATACTATTTCAATGATTTTAGATTCTCTAAAGCTTTTTAGTTTGTTTGGGATGCAGTCTGTTGTTGATTGTTTTTGTAGGCTATAATTTTGTTTCAAGTGTGAGATATTGTAGTTCCACGGTGTCGATTATGTCGTTCGTACGACAACGACAACACAGAGGCAACTTCATATTTCTTTGCGTTAGATAATAATTTTGGCTCAATTTGTTTTATTGTGTTTCGTTGTGTATATTATTTTTCCAATTGCGTGTTGTTTATTGTAAGGAGTATGATGGATTTTGATATGGTTGTAATAATATTCACATTATAGTATTGCATTGTTATTCTTTTACGGCGTCACAACTTTAGATACATAAGCTTTGTGTTGCTTCCGAGCGAGTTTTGAGTGTATATATTATATCAGATGCGTGGGTCTATTTTCGATCTTGTATCGGTGGAGTAGTTTTATGAATATACTTACATTGTGTTGTGATATTCGATTTGTAATATTACATATTTCTGTACTTTATGATCCTTTTGAAATGAGTGCTTTGCATTAGCAACATGTTTGTTTTTTGGTTAGCGTGCAACCTTTTGACTTGTTGTCGTTACGCTAATTTAGACCTATTTACGATATAGTTGCTTTTACTTGGTGACGTGTAACATTACTCTCTCATTACGATGTGACTCTTTACCTAATGCTTTGTTCATACTTTGATTTGGTTGCGATGAGTGCAGTTTGGTGTTAGCAACGTGTATGTTTCTTGTACATACGCATAACATTTCACAATTCATTGTTGCTTTATTATGTTACCTTTTAATTACGTTAATTTTTTATGTGTATGCTTCCATTTTGTCGCGTTAAGCTATACACCATAGCGTTACAATTTGCGACGTCCCTTCGCATGATAAGTTACTTACATGTTGTTCATATATCGAGTTGATTGTGATGAATGCGCTCTACGTTAGCAATTTATCATTTCTCTTGTTACTTTTAATTTGTTCTCTTTATCTCCCATGTCACAAATGTACCCATATCCCTACTTGTACTTTATTTCGCTTTGACTATCTCTTTAGCTTAGTTTAGGTAGCTTGAATAATAGAATAATGCAACAAATAAAATAAACCCTTTTTTCCAAAATAAAAACGCTTGATCAACATTGTCGCGGCGGAAATATTTGAGGTTAAGCTACTGATTAACTTAACTCAGCAAAAGCAAGAGTCACTGTCGAACTTTATTATTTTCAAAGGAAAAGAGAAAATATCGAGAAAACCCACAAACAAGCAAAGCAAAAAAGAGATAAGGGTACGGGGGTTGGTTATGTAAAGGGAAGAAATTAGCACCCCTCACATATATGGAACTCCATAGGAACCTCTTGAAAATATGTGTTAGGTTAAAAATAGTTATTTGCAATAAGATTAATGAGATGGGAAAAGATATTTGTTTTTATGATTTTGATTCAGAAAAACTTCGAGAGTTCTGTGCTTATGTATCTCTGACGTGCAATGAAGAAATCAAAATCCCGTAGTTCAGGTTACAAAGCTACATGGGTTTGTTGATTAAATTTAAATGAAGAGATATGTTGTCTTATCTGAGTGGAAAACATAACGTACTCTCAACAACCATGGGAAAGTGAGCATTTGCATCATCTTTAATATGGAGAATTTATAGCTTAGATTTAATCAACAAGCATATCTCAACATATAGGTGGAAAATGTCAATCACTTTTCCATGTTTGTAGAAGTATGATGGTCTGTAATCACTTTTAAAACAAGACTAATATCTAATATTTGAGAAAAGTTTAAAAGAAAAGTCCACAAAGGCACAAAAAGAAACTTTGATGAAGTTTGTCTTTTTTATGAATTTTGAAAGGGTTTTGATATGCTTAAGTATTTTAGTATTTATTGATAAAAAGATTTTCACGATCACTTGACAAAGTCAAGGTTTATTATGAAAGGTTTGAAGTTTGAAAACAAGAAGGTTTTGAAAAAGAGAGAAGTTTTAAAAATTGAAGAAGTGGGTACGATATGAAGAGATTATCCTAAAGCATAAAGTAAATGACATGAAATAAATGGTCTCATTGTAAGATAGCCCAAGAGGAAGTCTTTGTGTATGCAAATGAACTAACCACAAGACCAAAGCAAGCCTTTGACATTGGTAAAAATGAGCATTCTCTTTCCTTTGGATTAAGCCACAAAACAAGCAAATAAGCAGATGGATATCAAAATCATCAGACAAAATCCAAGGCTTTAGATGAATCTCAAGGTCACAGATGAATTTACAAGCATTAGATGAAAACTCAAAGTCTCAGATAACAATCCCTACATTAGATGAAATATAAAACAACATATAAAACCCAAGGTCTCAGATGAATAGTCCAGATGAATTTCAAGGTATCAGATGAAAGTCCAAGCTAGGATTAATAAAAAATACAAAAAAAATATATTAGGATTAGTTTTTCTTTTATAACCTAGATTAATTCTTCCATTTAGTATTTATTTTTCTTAATTAAATTTAAAATTAATTTTTCTTTAATAAAACCAAAAAAGACTTTCATTCTTAGGATTTTTTAGACGTAATATTTCATTTCGCGCACATTATTTTTATTCTCGCATTTTATATAATAATGTAACTGATTATGGGATATAATAGTCTAGATTTAATATTCCGCACTTCATTTTTGCACTTTTTTTATGTAACCATCCCGAAGCCCTGTACTAGCTGTAGGACTTTATTTCTTGCTTTTACGTTTCTTATATGCTTGTATATAATTGTTAGTAACTTAGGCGTGCATGACAAGATAAAGTCAATTAATTATTAGATCACTAACCTCAAGATAATATAACTGAAAAAACACACTTCTCACACTTGCACCCTTAGGGTATTCCTCACTTGGTTGCCTTGGAAAACAATGGTCATGTCCTTCGAACGTAGGGATATCTTAACAAAGACCCTCAATCTAAAAGTCATCATAAAGATCATGGTCCCTTAACGTCCCTTGAGTTGCCTACGAGAAAATGATCTTGTGCCTCGATGTTGCCTATATGATGACAATCCCTTCGAATGCTAAGATATATTTACCTATTGCCTTCAATGACCATAGTGTCCCTTTCGGTAGTCCCTAAACATTCAACGATAGGGATACCTACTCACTAATAGTAGGATAGCACTATCTAAAGGAAAGGAGGAAAAAAACATCCTTTTTCGAGTAGGTAGATAACTCTTAAGTACTTGCTCAAACCTAAGTTTTCACACTTACACACTTTTCAAAAATCTTTTCAAAAACGCTTTATCACACTCTTGATGACTGATACAAGAGTTACCATAAAGCAAACAAAAGCTTTCAAAACATACAAACACAAACAGATTTCAAAAATGAGCAAGTACCTAAGAGCCTGTGGAAAACCACAGATAGAAAGGGTGTTAATACCCTCCCTTTCCATAATCTACTCTCCTTACTCAGAAAATCTCAAAAAATATCTTTTTTTGTTCTTTTCACCCTTTTCTTTGTTGGATAAAAGAAAAGTCGGTGGCGAATCTTGCTTACCGCGACATTTGCGAACACAAAATGCAAACAAGTATTAACAGTCGGTTCCGCCACCATATCATACACACTATGGTTGAAACAAAAATAAAGTGATCAAGTGAAAAGGCAAGGATATTTGGTTATTACTTCAATTAGATTTTTCATGATACTTTGAGACAAACTTATCATCAATCCAAAGTACCACAAGGGATCAAATGATCATTGGATGGTAGACTTGAAATGATGAAAGTTCATCAAGCATCAATCTAAACCAAATGAACAAGATGAATCCGTGATCATCCATTTGATCAAACCAAAAAGAAAGAGATGAAGAGAGATGAGCAACCAAATTGAACCATAACTTGAGATCCATCTATAATCAATTTCAACCACCTCTCTTGGTGAATCAATATGATAAACCTATCATCAACTCAAAGTACAAAAGATGATCCAAATGATCATTTAATGATATGTTTTGCATTAATGAAGATTCATGCAATCAAAGCACCACCCAAAGTCCATTGATATTGATGAAGTATTTGTTCAAACAAGGCATGATCCAAGTCAACAGAAGTCAAACTAATATTAAATGGAAAAAAAACAAATAAATGCATTAAAATGATTTTGAAAAGGTTTTTAAATGGAAAATAAAAGGAAATTACCAAAGTATCATCAAAACATCAAATAAATGGAAACAAAAATAGTATAAAAATGAGAAATATTCTAAGAAAGTGATAAGTGTCATTTTGTAGTTATTTCTATATTCAGTTTTGCGACACTTATCATTTATTTTGCCTCAATTTTTGTGTATATTTG